TGTTTTTGATTCTCCTGCCAATCATTACGACTTAGAATAGCGGGCAAGAGACGTTGCCAACGATTCATACAATTCCAAACCCAATCGGGTTCTTTGGACATAGGTATATTGAGACCATGGATTTCACCCATTTTTTCAGCTATCTTAAGGGAAATCTTGGGATCGGAGAGTTCAGTTGTTAGTAAAGCTCTGGCGGGTATATACTGTTCAATACGACCGCCCGGGAATATGCCATGAAGCTTAGGACCAAAATGACGCTCGCTGAGTAAAGCAAAGACCACAGATTCGGTAATCATGGCCTCGAGAGCATCTTCGCCATGCGATTGGCCATATATACGTAAAAGTACCTGGAAATTAAAAGACAATTTAATAAGTATAAATGGTTTAACAAATTTAAAAGAAGAAAAAACTTACTTCCTCAGGTTCATTTTGTCTTAAAGCGGCTGAGGAGCCAGAAGAAGCACTGTCAAATCTTTTGCGTTTATTGCCATTCATATCGCCCACTGCTGCCACCAATTCATTGTAATGGGGCTCATTTCTATTTTCATCATCTACAGAGGTGAGTAAAGCAGTTGCAGTGGCACGGTCCAAGGAGGTTTCCATTGCTTGAGGCGCCTGATAATCTACCGACTCATTGGCATTGTCCTGCTGAGGTGGCAGACTTACATAATACAAAAAGTTTGAAAGACCACCACTGTAATTAAAGGAAAATTAATTTAGAAATATGTAATGTGTAAAGGTGACGTCACTTCAATTTACCTGATTCTTTTAAATATCAATTGTTCAGCAGGTACTACCTTCCAACGTCCATTTAAGTAATCACGACATATGCGTGAAGCAGCATGACGCATTTCCTCCAAAGTGGCCTGTTTTAAATAAGAAAGAAAAACAAAGTTTCAATTAGGTTATTTATTTAAAAAGATGAAAATTTTAATTTTCTATAGCCTACTTGTGGTCCAAACAATTGCCACACCCTTTCATGAGATATTGGTTTTTTACCCACTTTTCTAGTCACACTTTGTTTCATTTCGATTTGGAAAATCTTTTCTATAGGATACTGCTAAACAATTTTATCACAGTTTTTTTTTTTTTTTTTTTTGAAATGACGTTTATTTTTTGTTGATATGACCAAAGTTCAATTACTTATTGGTTTTTCTTTTCTATTTATAAAATAAATAAAAAATTTATTCGCACAAAACTAAAATAAGGCACTATTTTGTCGTAATAGTTTTTTATTTCTTTCCTTGAGCACGTTACGTGTTCAAATAACGAATTTGGCCAGAAATAAAAATCATTAAACGAGCACACAACCCTGCAAACGGCCAACAAAACCATTCAACCCCTAGAATTCTGAACAATATTATATTCATTCATTGAAATGCTCTGGTAAACGTAGGTATGTGGTTTTTGCAAATATATGTATATTTGTCATACTAAAGTTTCCAAGGTAGTATTTCACCTCGAAATTGGCACGCGATTAACACAATGTCTATAGAACTAAATTATTAAATCAATTTTATTTATTTTTATATAAATTTTAAATGTATAATATACAATTGCACAAAATTGTGTGTAAATACAGAATAGTAGTTTCTCTTTTATTTAGTTGGTTGGAAAAATTTAGTTTTCTTGATTTTATTTTTGATTTAATTATTTGCCGGCTATTCTCTTTTAGTGTAACTAAAACATATTAGCGCATGCTCCTTGAAGCCAGCAACAAATGTTAGATTCTCACTTACACCCCCGGAAAAAACGCCCAAATATTCTTTATTGCGTGCATTATATGCCGGCAGTGCATTTTGGTTTTTATTTAAACACCCTATTAAAGGTCAATAACTTTTCTTATTGAAATGTTTGAGAAAGTCGTAAACTCAATTGATAACAGACATCGGGCTCTAAATCAAATTATATATCAATATTTTTTCTTTTTTTGATGGTTTGTGATAATTTGAATAAAAATACGTATTTATCAATAATTGTGGAATATGACGATCTAAGGGAACAAACATAGGCCTATGCTTCCCCGAGGAGTGGAAGGAACATATAAAAGGATATACTATAGTTAGTTAGTTAGTTAGTTAGTTAGTTAGTTATTTAGTTAGTTAGTTTAGTTAGTTAGTTAGTTAGTTAGTTAGTTAGTTAGTTAGTTAGTTAGTTAGTTAGTTAGTTAGTTAGTTAGTTAGTTAGTTAGTTAGTTAGTTAGTTAGTTAGTTAGTTAGTTAGTTAGTTAGTTAGTTAGTTAGTTAGTTAGTAGTTAGGTAGTTAGGTAGTTAGGTAGTTAGTTAGTTAGTAGTAGTTAGTTAGTTAGTTAGTTAGTTAGTTAGTAGTAGTTAGTTAGTTAGTTAGTTAGTTAGTTAGTTAGTTAGTTAGTTAGTTAGTTAGTTAGTTAGTTAGTTAGTTAGTTAGTTAGTTAGTTAGTAGTTAGTTAGTTAGTTAGTTAGTTAGTTAGTTAGTTAGTTAGTTAGTTAGTTAGTTAGTTAGTTTAGTTAGTAGTTAGTTA